CCCTGCCACTGAACCACTTGAATTCAGAGAGCGTCGTAGCCCAGAGGCCCCTCCCAATTGGTTTCCCAAAACTTCAAAACACTGTCAGTCTATGTTGCCTTCAATACCTGAGAGTTGCAAGTAGATTTCATTTCCTAGGAGATCTTTTTTAATACGTAGCTAATTTTTTGGCCGTAACCACCATTTCCTACAGTTGGAAAAATACATTTACCTGTTTTTTTTAATGCTATTATTTATAAGGGTGCTATTGTCAAACATTGTATTTTATCATATTCCAGGCTGCTTTGATTAGAGAGGAAATTGCATTTCCTACCTTCTTTGATGGAAACAGGAAAGATGGTTGGTTGGTTGGTAAGGAGGTGGTGAAGAAGTTGGAAAAAAGAATCAGAACTTTCTTTGCCAGATTACTTGCTGTTGGGCCAAAGCTCTCCGCCTTCTAAAGTTGGCCATTGTGAAATAGGAAAACAGCTGCCCGTCCTCCTCCTGAGTGTCCAGCTGAACTTCCCTCCTTGCCAGCTGGGAATGTAGCACATTAAGGCAGGAGGGGGCACATCAGGGCAAACGTTGACTGGAGCCAGTCCAAAGCTGAAGGAAATGTTGCACTGGCTTCTTTAGAGAGTAGGTAGTTTTATGCGGGAGTCCTTTAAAGAGCACAGCCTGAAACAAGCGGGCGGCAAAGAACTGAAGTGGAGGATGGAGAGTTACGGTTTGAACCAGATGAAAGGGATTTGCACTGTCGGTCAGTTAAAAGTTCTCATTTTTTTTTTTTAATATTGGGTAATTACAAAGGATGGGACAAGTTGAGGAAGGAGGAGGAGCAAGAATGCGAGGAGGTGTGCGAGGAGGGCCCCGTCACGTTTTGCTGCAGCAAGAGCTAAAAATGTAGCAGCAGATTCACCACATCCTCGACCCCCTTCTGCAACATCTGCAAAACCAAGTCTCGTTCTTCCTGCCAGAAAAATGTTGAATGTATATTTGGGCCTTCACGGCCAGTTTCCTATTTATTTGTGTCTGAAATCCCGCACAGTAACCCAATTTACCTGAATGGCTTTATAAGGGCTTCTGAGTAGCAACAGTGCAAGAAGCAAGTGTGCTTTATGTTAACATTTGCAAACGAAGTATTTTCTTTTATAATGGTGAATTAGCTTGACAAGGTCACATTAAAAGACAATGGACTGCTCGGTAAGATGTGTCTGTCTCGTTGAGTGAATGGAAGCGCCAGCCCACACAATCGGAGGGGTGGGGGGGTCCCTAAAAGGTTGGCAGTCTAATTACAGACAACACCACTGTAGAACTTGTGCCAATAATCAAGTTCTTTCCACCTGATTACGACAAAGTTTGTAAGCATGGGTGTTGAAAAAAACAGCAGCATTCCCATACGTTCTTATGCACCAGTGAAGCGTGTAAGAGGAAGCTCCCAACGGTCCTGCACCAGGCCATCTGGCCTAGCTCCAGCTTTGCCGTGTTTTAGCCTGGCAAGAACAATCAGCAGGTGGATGACGGTATTCAGTCTTGCAGATGGCTGGCAAGAGGAGTTCCTTTCCCTCAAACTGGCTGAGCCGAGATCCAAAGTTCTGCCGTAGGCAAACATCTTCATAGCTGATTCCCTTTCACAGGATGTATTCAAACAGAGGCTAAACAGCCACCTTTTGAGGCTTTAATTTGGATTCCTGCACTGATCAGGGATTGGACTGAATGATCTCCTCCAATTCTGCTTCTAGCGTACGATTCAGGCAGTCTTGATGCCGTAAACTATGGTGTACATCAGGGGCCAGAATGAATGGCAACCCAATCCAGGAATCTGCACTCGTTTCTCATCTACCCAGAGTCCCCCACCCAGCCAACTCCTTTCCCCTCAATCTGCCCTGCCACTGAACCACTTGAATTCAGAGAGCGTCGTAGCCCAGGTTTTGACCTGGCTGCCTTTGCTAAAGCTGTAAGGATCGAGAAGCAGCTCTTTCATACCAGGTTAGGACAGAATAACCACTGTATTCAGAATTGGATGTGGGAGAAACAGCATGCATAGTAAATGAAGGGATAGAAGTGATGCTCCTAACTTTTGCAGATGACACAAAGCTGGGGGCTGAACATGGTCAGACCACACCTGGAATACTGGTCGCTACAATACAAAACGTATGTTGAAGAACTGGGAAGTGTGCAGAGAAGAGCAACTAGGATGATAAGGCACTTAGGGGATAAATCCCACAGAGAGTGATTTGATATGTTCTGCTTAAAAAGAGGCGGCTACATGAAGGCAGCCTTCCAATACTTGAAGGGATGTCACAGGGCAGAGGGCGTGGATTATTCTCCAGAGCACCTGAAGGTAAAACAAAAACCAGTGGGTGGAAGCCCTACAATGAGAGATCCAAACTTGAAATGAGGAGGAGTTTCCTGTCTGTGAGAGCTATGAAGCAGCGGGCCGTCCTGCCACCTGGAGTCATGGGGGCTCTCTCCCTGGAGGTTTTCAAGAGGCGGCTGGACAGCCCTTTGTCTGGGCTGGGCTGGGCTGAGGATTCCTGCGCTGGACGGGGATGGTCTAGAAGGCCTCCGAGGTCCCTCCCAGCACGAGGATTCTACCGCTCCAGCGAGAAAGTGGTGGGCACACATTGCCTCCTAATGATCCTCTTGTCCCACCATGGAACAGGGAGGCTTCCTGAAGGAGCAGTGCAACTACTTGCTGGCTACAGGATGCGTATTTTAACGTGCGTCTGTTTGGTTCATGCACAAAGGGAGGCCCGTGTGAGCGGCTGGGGTCCCACTCTGTACCTGAAAGGGAGTCTTGGAAGTGATGGCACCCCAGGCACCACCAACTGCTTTACACTTCCCCCCTCATTCCTGCATCAAAGCAAAGGTGAGAGACAAGAAAAGCGATACAGAATGAGGTTTTATTGCTGCCCCATATCTCACCCCCTTTCGGGAAGTGTCGGTCCTTTCCCTATTTTTATGTGAATACACCAAACAGATACAGCTTGAACCCAAGAATAGTCTTTGGCCACACAGACAGAACATCCAATCGCTGAATTCCAAAGAGACAGATGTAGAACAGCAAACGAAATTCTTGCTTTAGTTAAGAAGGAAAATGTTTACATTTCCCATTAGCCGTGCAGCCTAGTAAAAAAAGGAACTGCAGAGGCCCTCTCTCAGAACGCTCTCCCTAAATTTGATGTAAGTTTTGCTCTCAACAGGCAGCTGGGACAGATTTAAGCAAAACTGTCCAGTGATCAGCCTCCAACGCCTCCTGAAGCTCAGCTTAAATAACTGTCCACACACGATTGCCATACTGGCTTTTCTCTTGTTGGAGAACCAACAGTTCTGCAGCTCTTGTGGGATCAAACTCTCAACGCAAGCCACAAATCACCCCAACAGAAGTAAACAGCAGGCACATCTTATGAAACTACTAGGATGCCAGAGGAACACTGGAGGCCTGGGGAGATTAATGTCAGGCTGCTGAGTATTCTTCTGTCACTTCAAACAAACATCACGAATCTGAGTTGTGTCTTCATTCGCTTTAAGCAGCTTAATCCCAAAATGGTTGGTTAAAAAAATGCACAAGAGCCACATGTCTCTTTAGGCCAGCAGTTTTCAAGGGAGCATGGAGCTGCAATCCCACCTCTCAGGCTGAGAAGAGGCTGAAATGTCTGCAGCTGGAGCCTGGGAGGGAAAAACAAGCCCGGTGCCCCGGAGAGGTTTACACAGGCAGCTTTTTATCCTACACAAATTCGGTGAAGTCATCCACTGAGGAAATCAAGCGTTTCCTCTGTCCAGTTTCATAGGTGGGAGCTGGGTCCTGAGGGACACGGGCAGAGGCCTTTGTAGGGACCGGAGGATGTACGGTGGGAAAACCAGCCTCCTGGTACTGAGTTTCGTCTCGGATCTGGAAGAAAGAGAAGAAGTTGGTTCCAAAGGCATGACGCCATGGTGTATGCCTTCTCTGTGCAGCTCCCGTCCTGTGGAACAGCCTCCTCCCAGAGAGCCAGAAGGCCCTGACCCAGTTAGCCTCTCTAAGGCTCTAAGGACCTAGCTAACGCTCTGCTGCTGAACAGGCTTTTATGATTCAAATGTACTGCTTGCCTCAGGCGTCCCAGGCTATTGTTTGCTGGTCTTAATCTCTGTATGCCACCCAGAGTCACTGTTACAAGATGGGCAGCCACAAAAATTATTTAAATAAATAAATAAATAAAAATTTGAAACATGCAAGAGACCTGCAAGTTAGATGGCTACTAAGGGCAGAGTACAGGCCACCCCATCTGCGCTAAAAGTGAATAATTCAAGACTGCGTTGCAAGAGATCTAGAAGATGACAGAAAAACATGATTCTCCCAGGAAAAGTTTGCCTTCTGTGAAGAAATGGACTTAACTGCTCCTCTGCATGCTTCAAACATCGCTAGCTGTTTGAAAGAAGTGGCTACTCAAGAAAAGGAAGTGATCAATGCTGCAAGCATCTCCCTAGGAGAGTTGTGGGAAGAGTCACACTAGGGTCAATTCAGTGGTGGTGGTATTTCAGTGGGTGTCTTTTCTTGGCCCTCACTCAGGGCAGAGGATGAGGAGGGAGGGCAGGATGAGGCCGTACCCTGTGCCGGAGCCTCTTGATGTGGCGCAGCCGAGCAATCCATTTTGACGGATAGGTGTCAGTGGGGTTGGAGCGGCTGTGATGGACCTGAGAAGCCATCTGAGCAGGAGAGAGAAGAAGAAAAGATCCTTAGGTGGAGTGGCCTCAGTGTGAACGAAGAGGCCACTCCAACTGAAAGGTTATCCTGACTGCTGGATAAGCCAACACTTCGTACACTCTAATCTAATAAATGCCCCTGGTGTGAAACACGTTTGGATGAAAACAGGCATCGGACAAGCACTAGCCCAATGATCCAAGGGAGCCTGGTTCTGCTGGGTCAGCTGCCACGGGGACTTGGTTTCAAGGTCTCCTCTGGGTCTGGAAGAGAGCGCGCCAGCTTCTGACAACAGATCTTGTGCTCAGACCAACCTTAAAGTCCTTGCCTTCCCAGCCAGAGTGGCTCCTGATCTCTCTCCTTATTCAAAGTTGCTTTGATGAGGAAGGTGGGAGAGTGCAGGAAGGTGTAGAGGGAAGAGGGAATGGCCTTGAGGGACAGGAGGAAGAGCTGCTACCAGGGCAACAGACAGGTAAGAGGGGCTTGAGCTTGGGCCAAGGAAATACCTTAAGAAAACAGACAAGCCCCTCCTTAGTTCCCACAGAGGTAAAGGGAGGGAGGGGGAAGCACATTCAGACTTGCAAGATTCAGTTCCTATAGCTTTACAATAAAAGTAGTCCTGACCTACATGGTGCTGGTTTCCTTCTCCGGTCTACCTTGAAGGGCTGACAGAAGGAGAGGTAACCCCTCCCACCCAAATGACACTTACATTGGCATGTAGCGCCATCTGCCGGGCCACAAATGAAAGGTTTTTGTCTGAGACAATCTTCACCACACTTGTGTCAATGAGCCCTTCCATATCTGCAATGGCAGGGAGACAGGAGGTTAGATGGCAAAGGCAGAAATCAAACCCCTCCAAACATCCCAGCATTTATATTTTACCCAACCAGCACTCATTTTTTGATCCCTGCATGAGGCCAACAGCATTTCCACCACACAGCACCTTTCGCAAGCTTGAGGGCCGAGAGAGGGGCTTGGCCTACCTTTACGGCATTGCAAAGTAAGCAGGTTACAGTTATAATCCAGGGGTTTGATGATGACATGTACAAAGTTGAACTGGCCCTAGAAAGGAAAAGCGGAATTGGTGTGTTGATTAGGAAGGACCAGAAAACTTTGCTGGAGTCTTTATTCTCTTGTACTTGAGCAATTATCACTTCTCAGGACCAACGGTTTATGTACAACCTGCTTAGGAAAGTGATTTAGAACGTGGACTTGGAAGGGACTATAGGGAGTCCTCGGGTTAAGAATGTCTGGTTTACGGATGACCCATAGTTAAGAACGGAGCCTATTGTAGCAAAATTCAAGTTAAATACACAAGGGTTCGAGTTCATTAGACAACGCTACTTGTACAGTATTATACAATAATACTGTTCCAGCTTACGTACAAATTCGATTTAAGGACAGACCTCGGGAGTGGAAGTTATTCTGAGCCCGGGGACTGCCTGTAGTTAGGCCATCAAGTCCAACCCCATCAGTGCAGGAATTCAACTTAAAGAATCCCCAATGGACCAGTTTTATTGACTTCGCCCCTTCAGAAGAGCAAAGTTATTGGCTTTGGGTCCTGCTGCCCTCTCAGCCTAGAAGCGGCAGAGGCAACGTTTATGTGCAGCTCACCCTCTCCTCTTCACCCCCTCCCCTTTACCGACTGGGGGAAAACCCTCTCCCGGAGGCAGACGGGGGCTGTCTTGAAAGCCACCAGCTGCATGTGCCCAATCAGTGCTCTTCGCCTTACCTTTATGGTCCCCAGTTTGAAGTCTTCCCCTGAATCATTGTAAATTATGGAAACAAAATCATTCCCCAAATGTCGTTTCTTGTCACAGCAATATTTATCCAAATCTTTGGTGGGCATCAAGGTGGCAATATGGAAAATAGCTGTAAAACCAAGGAGTGAGGAAAGCAGCTGCAGACAGTTCAGACATCAAGCATCAGAAAAGGGACGTAGCGAATGCAGGATGTCTGGAGGCAAATACTTGGACGGCCCAACTCAAAGAAAGGGCTTGCTAGGTCGCTCTGGACGGAGAGCAGCCATCTCACCCTGCAAGGTGCTACCAGGAACCCAAGCCCCATGCTTGGAGAAAAGGACAGGATGGT